TTTGAAAGCGGAGAGAGTGACATGGATTCTCCAGAAGAGGGTGTTCCCAATGGTTCTGCGCAAATCGTTACCTGATTCCCATATGTGCAAGCTGCCAGTGAACTCCATCATAAGCCGTCAGTCAACTCAAAGATTTTGCATCAACCTCAAACACCAGGATAGTAACTAGAAGGGAAACAGTCAAAATTCTTTCCAATTGATTTAAAGCCTTGAAGTTTAGTGGGAGGGGCTGTTCTTTAGATGGTTGAAAGAGTGAGACATGGTTGTAGTTTGCCTTCCATGGACATTTCCCAAGGGAGGTCAGCTGCATATCCATCAACTTTTTCATTGGCTTATGAACCTTTCATAATGAAAAGTTATCATCCAAATAAAGATAGGTAGCAAGTATACCATAGCAGCCACGGGTTTTTCACTTCATTAATGCTTATTTACATGTAGTAGGTAAATAAATATGTAGGCATTCACATGTATTTGTGTATGTTATTCATCTTGAGAATATACGTATCTACTGTTTCCCAGCTTAGAAAGTGTTACCAGACTGAATAAGCAGTTATTCCATTTTTTAGTGATTTACAAAAAATATACAAGACTGTTTCAACACAGCCCTCATGGAGGGATTTTCATTCAGAGAGTTATTAAGATGCCTTGTACATTTTGTGTGTAAACAACAGTTGATTTTTGACCGAGACATAAAAAATGAGAAATGTTTTAACTTAGTGTGAATGCAGATGTTCAGTCTTTCAAACCTGTGGCACATAAGTAGTGTCTTCCTTGATCAAAGATGAGGAGGTAAAGAAAGAAATTCATCCTTTAAGACTGCTCATTGTGTCTCAGGTACCTGCTGTGCAACAGTAAGGAATCTTGACTGTGGTTCATGTATATCTGATTTACTAGAGCACCTTGAGATTTACACTGCCATGTGTTAGCTCATAAGACATAACCCATGTAGGACACACAGCATACTGTTTTCACAAATGACTGATGAAGCTTGATGTATGGAGAATAAGTTACTATGTCTGAAGCAGTTCATAGTTAGCTCTCAGTTTGTAGAAGAAACCTTAGATAACATTTCATTCTGCCCATTAACAAGTTATAAAGCAATCACATAACTTGTCCAAGATGGAGCAAAGCTTTGTCTAAAGTTTTTTCTATAAACTTGATGTATGGCTGGTGAGCCAAAATCCACACATGCTCATGATATTATAGTGCATTTATGTACTGTCTTGTTAGGTATAGGTGAAATCTCCTTAACACATCCTAGTGGCTTTTATATACACTAAAGAAAGTGTCCTGCTTGGGCTATGGTTAGGCATAACATTGTTGTATTCAGTTTTTAATTTGGTGTGATTTTTCAAAAACAAGTGCTTACTAGTAAAGAGTTGTTGGTATATTGCTAAATTTGAAATTGGCCTGTAAGTTAACCTGTCTGTGTTTGTTTTCATTCTGAGGAATATGAATAATGTGAAATATCCCCAGGAAATAAAATAAAGCATGGAGGTAAGAGCTACACTAATGGTAGGTTATTTGATTTTAGAGGGACATTTTGTCTGTGTTTTTGATATGGGCCTGTGACTTTTCTTGAGCTTTTCAGCTTCTCCCACTAATAAATACATGTACAATTCTCACACTGCAATTTTTAGAGCCTCAAAATTAATGTAATTTGAGCCAAAATAAACCACAGTATGGACACTTACATTGCAAATTTTAGAATGCCTCAGAATTAATAAAATTCGAGCCCAAATAAATTTTGCTAATACAGTAGCTTCAGAATTGCATGCAGTGAGATTCATAGCTTGAGGCAGTGAGGTTTGCTAGTCTACTCTGTGATTCCCACTCAACTTAAGAATGAATGCTTAGACAAGAGTGAAATGGTGTCATTAGTTTTAATAAAAAGATTCATTTTTGTGGCTCTGTTCATGTGTCATTATTTTTTTGGGGCTTTTTATTGGTAGTTTAATAAATATTTTTTTCTGGGTTGGCTGTTTACCAAATGCATTCATACTTTGTGTATATTCATTTTATGTGTGTAATTTATAGAGCTCACATTTATTTGATAAGAGATTTTTCTTAAATGCTGTAGCAGACATCACTAGCCACTGGTTAGGTACTGGACATGTCAGTGTGAGGTACAGTATACACTGGTTAACCCTTAAACTGTCCAAACGTACATCTACATTTGCGCGCATAGTGCTCCAACCTTGATTTTCTCCATAAGAAAGAATGTAAAAAAAAAAAACGTAGATCTACGTTCAGAGCGCTTCACGAGCGAACGTAGATCTACGTTTGGACAGTTTAAGGGTTAAGAAAAACACGTAAGCAAACACTAGGACGTATTTATTAGAAAATGTTTCGGTCCTGAGACCTTGTTCACTTCTAACATACAGAGGTTGAAAGACATTATGTATAGGCAGAGAGTGAGGTGTGAGTGATGCATGGTGATCTGAATAATGCCATGTTGGGATGAGGACAGGTAGATGATGAGATCATAGGACTCCTGTGTCATCGTCTACCTGTCCTCATCCCAACATGGCTTTCTTCAGGCCACCATGCTTCACTCACACCTCACTCGACGCTTATAATGTCTTTCAGCCTCTGTATGTTAGAAGTGAACAAGGTCCCAGGACTGAAACATTTTTTAATAAATATGTCCTAATGTTTGCTTATGTGTTTTTCTAAACCAACTTGTTGGTATTTATTATCAAGGTTTATACCACAGTATACACTACATGCCAACCCACCCTCAGTGATAGTCCAGCTGCTGCCTGCCTTTACATATATGTACTGTACTGTATACTGTATCGTGGCTTTGTTCTGTGTATTAAACAATATCTAATAGTGTTTGTAAGTGAAAAGAAACAATACTTATAGTACAATATTGGATAAATATTCTTAGTTAGCAATAGATGCAATTAGATATGCAATATTATGACTAAAGAATGCATCTTTGATTAAAACCTGGATATCGGTAGGAAAATAGTTTCCTGGTTCTTAACATTTGACTTACAGTTTTTGGAATGAATTAACATCATAAGTGACTGGTGGTGGGCTGGTGTCATACAGTACACATTTTTTTTGTTAACATGCTGGCTGTTTTCCACTGAGGCAGAGTGACCCAAATAAGAAATACTTTCACCATCATTTACACCAACACTCTTGCCAGACTTGCACAGATATGACAGTACACATATGCTGTTTAAATTATCACATCTGCACATGTAGATATGAAATGAAATGACACCCTCTTCGTGATTGACACCCTCTTCGTGATCAAAGAACCAGACACTTGTAGACAATACATATATGCCATGAAGCATTAATAATCTTCATTTAAGACATGGTTACACAGAACAAAGGTAGCTTCTTCATCCCTGAAATATAACGATAAACTCCAGTGTCACCTGACAGCTAGAAATCACTTCTCCTATTACCAGCATGGGACAGTGGGCATACTTCTGAATCTTATCATGTTCCCTTTATATACCCTCTCTGTCCCTTGTACATGTTATGTTTATATTGGCTTGGTAAAGCTAGAGAGCAAACCATAGCTGTAATAAATCTCTCATTAGTTGCTCTTGGGTCGTTTGGCCTAAGTATTGTAAGTAAATTTTACCAATATTTATACTGAATTAATCGTGAAGAAAAACTTTTTAGACATTGAACAACACTTCATTACAATAACAAAAGACAGGGAGATATAATCATGACATAGAAAATACTGCAGCATTGACAGGATGGATTGGGAATATATTTGGCATGAGGGGGGATAGGAGCAAAGGGGTATAGATGGAAGCTGAAAACCAAGACAAGCTACAAAAATGTTAAAGAAATATTTTTTCAGGTAAAGAGAAGTGAAAAATGAAAAAACTATATACAGTGGACCCCCGGTTAACGATATTTTTTCATTCCAGAAGTATGTTCAGGTGCCAGTACTGACCGAATTTGTTCCCATAAGGAATATTGTGAAGTAGATTAGTCCATTTCAGACCCCCAAACATACACGTACAAACGCACTTACATAAATACACTTACATAATTGGTCGCATTGGGAGGTGATCGTTCAGCGGGGGTCCACTGTATTGAGGTTGAAGTGTCAAGAGTAAATATGACCCTCTGAAATAACTTTTCTGTGAGCATTATACAGTACAGAGCATACAAATGTAATGCCATTGCTTTTTTTAAATGAATCGTAATGCAGAACTTTTTTTTTTTTTTAAATGTTTTTTCTTTATAGCTTATGAATGCTAGTGCTCTACATGAAACAAATATTTTTATTTATGCACTAGATTAGTTTTCTATTGGAACTGGACATTAATAACTTAGGGATAACAAAATCTACTAGAGAGGAAGCTGCTGCCTTAATTTTACACTACTCACTGAGCATAGTTTACAATTTTGGTACTGACTCTTATTATTATTATTAATTATTATTATCACACTGGCCGATTCCCACCAAGGCAGGGTGGCCCGAAAAAGAAAAACTTTCACCATCATTCACTCCATCACTGTCTTGCCAGAAGGGTGCTTTACACTACAGTTTTTAAACTGCAACATTAACACCCCTCCTGACTCTTGCGGTGGTTGTATGCAAATGTTACATAAGGATTCAATTATGATTAGTGATAGGTTAAGAAGCAAGTGTGGACCTGGTGCAACACACGTGGTACTTTATATGCAATATCTTTTTACTTTAAAATTTGTTCTTGCCTTTAATTACTGAAATTGTTAAGTAATAAAATTGTGCTAATGAACTGAAAATTAAGAAATGACATTTCTTTTGCTCCATTAAAGTAATTGTTACATGTAAAATGGGCTGTACCCCTCCCCCATTTCACAACTGGGAACCCCAAGGGCATCAACCCATTTTTGCCCGAATGTTAACCCTTTGACTGTCGCGGCCGTATATATACGTTTGTGAGGTACCGTGTTTGACGTATATATACTCATAAATTCTAGCGGCTTCAAATCAGGCAGGAGAAAGCTAGTAGGCCCACATGTGAGAGAATGGGTCTGTGTGGTCAGTGTGCACCACATAAAAAAAATCCTGGAGCACGCAGTGCATAATGAGAAAAAAAAAACTCCGACCGTTTTTTTTTAATTAAAATGCCGACTTTGTGGTCTATTTTCGTATAGTATTTGTGGTTGTATTCTCGTTTTCATGGTCTCATTTGATAGAATGGAAACATATTATAGAAATAGAGGTGATTTTGATTAATTTTACTATAAAAAAGAACCTGGAAATGGAGCACAAAGTACAGGAAAAAATGTTTGATTTTTGCCGATGTTCAAAAGTAAACAAATGATGTCATTGTCCAATAATGTCCAAATTTGCCATTCTAATATGCAGTCATGAATGGGTTGATGTAATTTTTACAATTATTACAGTATTGCAGTAGTCTGCATAACAGTAAATCTTCTATTTTTGTTTGAATAAAATTTCAAAATAAAAAGCAAGAGTAATATCACAGGGACCTGGAGACATGACTGATGAACAAAAAAATCTTATTTTAGAGCCAGGAATGTCTGCATGTTCATTCTGGACCTTATTTGAAATTGTCGTATTTTTAATTTTCGTGAAATTGGCCAAATTGCAATTTCTGACCATGTTATTGGGTAGTTGAAATCGGTAAATGGCAGTTTCTTGTGCTCAATCGATAGAAAAAATAGAGTTCTGAAGAAATGTTATGAGTTGGTTGACTGGAATAACGGAATTAGCCGAAAATAGGGCTCAAAGTGGGCGAAATTGCCGATTTTTAAATATCGCCGAAGTCGCTAACTTCGCGAGAGCGTAATTCCGTCAGTTTTCCATCAAATTTCGTTTTTTTGGTGTCTTTACAATCGGGAAAAGATTCTCTATCATTTCATAAGAAAAAATAATTTTTTTTTTTCGAATATTTTGTGACACCAGGAGCAACTTCAGGATTGGGCCCTTCGACAGTCAAAGGGTTAATTGACCACTGAACATGATGTGTGCCAGTCATACACCCATACTACACTTGGTGAAAGCCAGCACAAATAATAGCTGTCCCTTCATGTTTTTTTTTTTTTTTTTTTTTTTTCTTACCAAGTGGTAAATTGGTGTGGATAATTCTGAGCAAGAAATGGTTGAGCTTTAATCCTCCATCTACAATTTGCAACCCAATTTCTGATAATAGAAAACAAAATGAACAGCCAAAGTACTTAGTGGTAGTAATATATGGAATTGGTAATTTTATCAAAAAGTATAAATGATTAATCATAGGGAATGTTATAAAGTATAAAAATGTATGTTTAAATTTGTTTATAAAGTTAGGGTTTTTGAAACTCAAAATGCATTTGTAACTGCCTGATACTTTTCATAAGGTTATATTTCATTTATGCTTTGAAGGTGAATAGCTAAACACAGGTATAGATTTGTTGTACACTGAGTGACTGTGTTGTGGATATTGTTTTTGCTGTATGTCGACACTGCTCAGTTGTATTATCACAAGTCTTGTACAGTATTACCACACTAAAATTAAGAAAGTATGTTTTATTGTGGGCAGGCAGTTGGTCATAGGAAGCAATGCGTACACCTGGATCTCCATAACTTTCGGTAAATATATATACAAAGTTTCTTTTAATCCCTATTTTAGGGACAAAAGTGTTCTTGAATTTTAGTGTACGTGATGCTTGGCTATAATGACCCATGAACTGTTGACAAGCTTCATACCCAATAAAGTTGATTCTCATAATCTTATGTTGGCAATACTGTACTCTTTAAAATCAATAAATGCTGACAGTCACTGATATACAGTACTATACTCAGATTTCCTGTGTTTAGGTATTTAGTACCTCTCATTGCTCCACCCTGAACTATGATAGATTCATAGGTTTTGGTTTTATCAGTTCTTTATTTAACTTGTGTGCATGTGTTTGTGAATTATAATCAGGGTTGGAAAAGGTATCCAGCAATTTTTTTGTTTTTATGTTAATATAGGTGGTGGTGGACTGTCTCATGTTATTGCAGGGACCATGTAATTGTCTTTGAAATGTACAAGAAGATTGGTCCACTTGGCATTATTTTCTTTTACCTTGTTACAATATTTATCTTGTTCCTTTGGTGGGAGAGACCACTATTTAATTGAACTTAATTTTACTTCTCCTATAATAAAAAGTTGTTTTACACACCTATAATAAAAGTTTCTGTTTTACACACCAGAAGAAGAATGTTCATATTTACAAGATGTGATTTTTTTTATAATGGTTTCCATCCCTGTTATAGCTTGATATTTATATTGGTAATATGTTCACCAATGTACATGAAACTTAATAAATATTTTGATATATTATGGCATAATTTATAACCTTTTTTAATTTAAATTACTGTATTTGAATTATGTACTCTTTTATTTTAACTTATATTTTGAAGACTGAGACACTTATGCAACATATGGGAATCTTTATAACAAAAACGTTTTGCCATACAGTGGCTTCATCAGTCCAGTACAAAGTAGAAATGGTAAGGAGAGGAGGAGTTTGTGGTAATCAATCCCTCAGCCTGGAATCGATGTGTTCAGTACATCACTCTTGTAGAAAGTGCAACATGTGGCTGGAGAAGTGGCTTATATACTGCAGTCAGGCGAGTCGAAGCAGGAGGCGCCGGGATCATAGTGGAACCATCCACTAATCTAATTGGGTCTTCGCCCAGAGGTTGGACAAGTACTGAAGAAGACCTACTTAGATTAGTGGATGGTTCCACTATGATCCTGCCTCTGCCTGCTTTGACTCACCTGACTGCAGTATATAAGCTACTTCTCTGGTCATATCCTGCACTTTCTACAAGAGTGATGGACTGAACACATCAATACCAGGCTGAGGGATTGATTACCTCAAACTCTTCTCCCTCGCTTGCACAAGCACATACATAATAAACACAAGCAGTGAGCAGCACTTGCTACTGATCCAAGATGTAACATAAAACCAAATACGTGTACATAATGTGTCTGTTCAGTCACAGTAAAGGTGACTGAAACAATGTTGACAGATTTTGATGAAAGAAACTCCTCTTAATAAAGTGACCACCTACCATATGTCTCGCCTTACTGGGTAGGATGTTTTTACGCTGGTGAAGGGATCTTGATGCAAGAAATTGGAGCTACCTTTTTTCTTGGACTGAACCTGATTACATTCCCATTCCTCAGGTGCTGAATGAACCCCATGGGTTTAATGCTCCCCTATGATAAACTTGATTACTTCCCATTCCCCAGGTGTTCTCTGACCCCAACAGCTTTAGTGCTTCCCAGTGAATATAATGATCTGGAGACAATCTCCAGTTAAAAATCTCATAGAGAAGAGCAAGAACAACTGTAGAACGAGTGTCAAGGAATAACCCATATGGGTTTAACTCTGCTTTTGCAATAATAGTTATAATAAATCTGCATCTCGGGCACATTCACAGAGGCATTGCTAACAGGTGTCGCAGAAGAGATGAAGAATCCACTCTGTTCTCTTGCTGGACGGCTGAGATATCCTCAAGGCTGCTCTGTTGACACTGCTCACATCACTGCTAAACTTCAACAAAAGCAGTATGCTACCTATGCCAACGGTCCCCTTGTCAGCCAAATAAAAGATATTCCTAATCCCTCTTCATCCACCTTCAAACTGAAGTACCACAGTTGTCATTACAAGTGTTTTATTACACCTGTTTCATTCATCAACTGCTACAGTTGTCACCCTTTATTAATTACTTTATTCTCAAGGCTCTTTACTCTTCATGCCGTTAAGGGAGAGGCTCTTGATGCAAAGGACTGAACCTATCCTTCCCTTCTTGGATTGCGTGTAATGGCGTCTCATTTCCCCAGGCGCTGTATAACCCCTCCCTCAAGGGAGGTTCTTTGATGCTGGTGAGGGGCTCTTGATTTAAGGAAATGAACCTGTTTCAGTTACCAGAATTAAGCTTGAATGCCTTCCATCCCTCCTCCACAGGCACTGTATAATCCCTATGGGTTTAGCGCTCCCCATAATGTAAAACCCCTACGGGTTTGTCACCTCCCCTTAAATATTATAAATACACCCTTCACGAGGTGTTCCTTAGTATTGATGAAGGGCTCTTGATCACAAGGCTGCATCACCTGTACGAGTTTGGTTAGCTTTTTTTTTTTTTTTTTTTTTTTTTTTTTTTTTTTTTTTTTTTTTTTTTTTTTAATATAACCCCTCAAGGAAGGTTCCTTGATGTTGGTGAGGGGCTCTTGATTTAGGGAATTGGATCTGAGCTCCAGTTCCCCGAATTAAGCCTGAATGCCTTCCACATCCCCCCCCCCAGGCGCTGTATAATCCTCCGGGTTTAGCGCTTCCCCCTTGATTATAATAATAATAATTTTTAATATAAGAACATAAGAAAAGGAACACTGAGCAGGCCTACTGACCCATGCGAAGCAGGTCCATGTCCCCCCCCCCCCGATTAGCCCAATGACCCACCTAGTCAGGTCACTTCCACTTAAGTTACATTCACTTGTTAGACGAAGAATGAGGGGAGACCTGATCGAAGTGTATAAGTGGAAGATAGGTATTAATAAAGGAGATATTAATAAGGTCTTGAGGATGTCTCTCCAGGAGAGAACCCGCAGTAATGGATTTAAATTAGATAAGTTTAGATTTAGAAAGGACATAGGAAAGTATTGGTTTGGCAATAGGGTAGTTGATGAGTGGAACAGTCTACCTAGTTGGGTTATTGAGGCTGGGACTTTGGGTAGTTTCAAATTTAGGTTGGATAAGTACATGAGTGGGAGGGGTTGGATTTGAGTGGGACTTTCACATCAGAGCTTATTTCTTGGGTGGCATTGAAAATTGGGTTGGGCAAATGTTTTGTTAGTGGGATGAATTGTAAAGGACCTGCCTAGTATGGGCCAACAGGCCTCCTGCAGTGTTCCTCCTTTCTTATGTTCTTATGTTTAAATAGCGTGTTGAAAATTTCCGGCCAAGACAGGACTCGCAGCAATGGTTTCAAGTTGGAAAAATTCAGATTCAGGAAGGATATAGGAAAGCACTGGTTTGGTAATAGAGTTGTGGATGAGTGGAACAAACTCCCTAGTACAGTTATTGAGGCTAAAACGTTGTGTAGTTTTAAAAAAGGTTAGATAAATACATGAGTGGGTGTGAGTTGGAC